CGCCGGTGCCCCTCATTCCTGGCCTGCAGCCCCTGCTAGCCCAGCCCTGGGTGTTGTGAGCTGATGGGGGGGATGGCAGGGGAGAGACTGAGACGCTTCCAAGCCCAGTACGGGTTCTTTGCTGCCCCAGGGCTGGTGCCCCCTGTGCCCGGGCAGGAGGCCAATTGGGACCCCCCCGTGCTCTTTAACCCAGGCTCCCTCTCCTTGCTGACTCTGCGGGTTGTTCTCCAGGGCTTGGAGTAGAGCGAGCCGCCGTGGCGGTGCCGGGCCTGGCCCTGCTGTTGCTGAGCAGAGTCTGGGTGCTGGAGGTGGACTGGGACGTGTGGGGCAGCCCTACGTGCTCGGGGTGGCGGGCAGGGCGGCCTGGCCGAGGTTGCAGCGTCATTAGCAGCTGACGTTCGAGCTGGGGGTTGCCAGGGCTGAGCTGGGCTGCGGGCACTGGCTTGTCTCCATGCAGGTCTCAGGTGGGCTGAGCTGGGGGTGGTGGGGCTGTTAGCCAGGGGCAGCGTTAAAGGCCCCACGGTGGAGCTGGCCCCACTGGGCATGCGGCTGTGGCCGTGGGGCTCTGCCGGGCGCCCCCCTCACCGCCGTGCCCTCCCCGCGCCAGGGAAGCTGCCCATCGTGAACGACAGCGACGAGCTGGTGGCCATCATCGCCCGCACGGACCTGAAGAAGAACCGCGACTACCCGCTGGCCTCCAAGGACTCGCGCAAGCAGCTGCTGTGCGGGGCGGCCATCGGCACCCGCGAGGACGACAAGTACCGGCTCGACCTGCTCACACAGGCCGGCGTCGATGTGGTGGTGCTGGTGGGTACCGGGCCCGGGCGGGCTCCCTGCTGCCCCCCGGACCAGCAGCCTCCCTGAGCCCTGGCACAGCGAAGGTTAAGGCCCTGAGCCCCTTGCCCGGCCAAGCCAGATACTTGGCACCTCCCCGCCCGGGTCAGATGACCCCCCACCCCGCCCCAGATGGGGTCGTCTGCCCCACGGAGCAAGGCGGCTGGTGCTTGGAGCAGGGTGTGTGCGGGGATCTCCAACGTGGGGCCCGTCTCCCAGCCTGAGGAGCTGGGTCAGTCCCACATCGTTCCAGGCGCATGCTCACCGGGATACCGGCTCGCGCTGCATGGGCTGTGCCGCCTTGGCGGGGAGAGCTGCCAGCCAGGCATGTGCTGGTGGGCAGGGAAGGAGGCAGGAGCCCCCTGGGCGGAGTGGGGTTTGGGGATCCCCCGGGGGCGGCTGGGCGGCCCATTAGTGGTCACGGCGGGGGCTGGGGTCAGTGTGGGGGCGGGGCCGGAGTGGTCTCTCCTGCTCTCTTCCTTGCTCTAACTGGGGTGTCCTCCCCCCGCCCCCAGGACTCCTCCCAGGGCAATTCCGTGTATCAGATCGGCATGATCCATTACATCAAGCAGAAATACCCCGAGCTGCAGGTGATCGGTGGGAATGGTGAGTCCCTGGGGGCTGCAACCCGGCCTGGCGGGTGCAGGGTGGGGCACTGGCGGGGCCGTGGCTCCGACGGGCACAGCACTGAACACACAGCTGGTACCTCTAGCACCTTGCTCCAGCAAGGGCGGTGTGGAGCTGTGTGTGGGGAGCCACTGCCGGAACGCCCCGCGTGGTGCGTCTGGGCCCGGGGCTCTGCCCGCTCCCCAGCACGGCTCCGGCACCCTACACGGCACGTCTGGGCCCGGGGCTCTGCCCGCTCCCCGTCTGGGCCCGGGGCTCTGCCCGCTCCCCGGCACGGCTCTGCTACCCGGCACGGCTCCAGTGCCCTGCACGGCACATCTGGACCCGGGGCTCTGCTCGCTCCCCGGCACAGCTCCAGTGCCCGGCACGGCTGGGCCCGGGGCTCTGCTCGCTCCCCGGCACGGCTCCAGCAGCTGGGCCTGCACATCGGGCAGGGGGAATACATCTGACCACCCTCTCTCGGGACAGGGCGAGTCTGGGATCAACAGGCTGTGTGGGGCCCATCCCCATGCCTGTACATGTGCAGCCCCCACAGGTGATCGGGGCTGATGAAAGCAGAGACCTTCTGCCCTCCCATGCGCCAGGGGCTCCCCCCCGATGCTGAGGGCGCCCCTGCCCCGTGCTGGGCAGCTGGGTACCACGCTGCTGGCTGAGATTGCTGAGGTAGGCGGAGGTGGAGCGAGTGCTCGCCGTGCCGGGATCGGAGCTGTGTCCTGGCCCCTCTGGGACCCAGTGACCCGGAGTTGTACCAGATCCTGCCAGCCCAGACCCGTGGGAGCAGCCCTGCCAGAGCCAGTAGGGAGTGGGCCAGGGGCACTGCCCACCAACGCCATCCTGCACCTGCTCTGCCCACGCCATCCTCCCCAGCTGGGGCACGTCTCCCAGCCTAAGGCCCCGGCGGGTCCTGCTGCAGGGTGGGGAGATGTGGCTGGGAGTCCCGGTCTGAGAGCGGGCCAGGCGAGGCCCTCGACTCTGCCCCGCGCCCGGTGACCAGGTATTTCATGGCTGCCTTTGCTTTTCTCTCCTATTGGATCCACAGTGGTGACAGCGGCGCAGGCCAAGAACCTGATTGACGCGGGAGTGGACGGCCTGCGCGTGGGCATGGGCTGCGGCTCCATCTGCATCACGCAGGAAGGTAGGGGCATGCTCCGGGCATCGCGGGGAGCCCCCATGGGGGTGAGCAGCCCCCGGCGGGGCAGGAAGGGCCCGGGCCAGTGTCCCGCCGGGCAGAGGCGTAGCTGAGGTTATGTGGGGGCTGCTCCGCCCCACCATCCCCTCTCCCTCTTTCCCCCCCCCCGCTGGAGGCCTCCGGGCCCCTGCTCAGGCCAGGCTGGCGCTGCAGGGAACGGCTTGCTCCTGTGCGCTTGGCTCTGGGCCTTTGTCGGCACGGCTGATGCCTGCAGCTGGCAGAGGAACCCAGCCCCATGCGGTGCCCAGCGTGTCAGTGGCCCACCTGTTGCCCCCGCCCGCCCGCCCTGGCGCTGACACTCCTGTCTCTGGCTGCAGTGATGGCGTGCGGCAGGCCCCAGGGCACGGCGGTGTACAAGGTGGCGGAGTACGCCCGCAGGTTCGGCGTGCCCGTGATCGCTGATGGCGGCATCCAGACCGTGGGGCATGTGGTGAAGGCGCTGTCTCTAGGAGCCTCTACGGGTGAGTGAGACTGTCGCCGTGAGGCCAGGCTGCCTTTCCCCAGTGCATCCACGCTGCACTGCAGGGTGTAACGATGCTGCCTTTGCTGGGACACTTCTGAGAGGACCAGTTCAGGACCAATTGCTGGGAGCAGGGCAGTCACAGCCCAGGGCTGGGGGGGTTTCACAGCTAAGGCACCAAACCAGCTGGACAGAGATGACTTTGGTCTCACCCCACTGGCTAACCGCAAGTCTCACAAGCAATCTCCTTAGACACTCCAGTTTCCCAGTATTCCCACCAGTGCCACTCGTTATGGGGACAAATGGTTATGAAAACCAATACCCCAGTAAAAGAAAAAGGTTCTCCTGATCCCAAAGGACCAAGCCCCAGACCCAGGTCAATATACAAATCAGATCTTACCCACAAATCACGTTGTTGCCGATCCTTTAGAATCTAAAATCTAAAGGTTTATTCATAAAAGGAAAAAGATAGAGATGAGAGTTAGAATTGGTTAAATGGAATCAATTCCATACAGTGATGGCAAAGTTCTTAGTTCAGGCTTGCAGCAGCGATGGAATAAACTGCAGGTTCAAATCAAGTCTCTGGAACATCCCCAGCTGGGATGGGTCCTCAGTCCTTTGTTCAAAGCTCCAGCTTGTAGCAAGGTTCCTCCAGAGGTGAGAAGCAGGATTGAAGACAAGATGGAGGGGGTTCCAGGGCCGTTTATATCCTCTGCCATGTGAAAGGACCCCTTTGTTCTTACTGTGGAAAATCACAGCAGCAAGATGGAGTCTGCAGTCACATGGGCAAGTCACATGTCCATGCATGACTCAGTTTGCAGGCTGATGCCATCCTTTACATGTTAGTTTGAACGTTCCCAGGAAAGCTCAGATGTGGATTGGCGTCTCCCAAAGTTCGTTGTCAGTTAAGTGTTTCTTGATTGGGCAGTTACTGCGAATAGTCCCTTCTCAAGAAGCTGCCCAAATGCTTCACTGAGGCTACTTAGAATCAAAACTCATTGAGAGACAAGTACTTAGCCCATATTCATAACTTCAACTACAAAAGGAAACACCCATACAGACAGCATAATCATAACCAGCCAATCAGAACCTTTCCATAGACACCTCACACGACAACCTTTGTACAACAGTTGCTGCAAATATATAACAGTGGTTGCAACAAGGATCTATACGGTCACAGTTTGTCAGTAACGTCACACAGGGATCCGCCAGGGGCGCTCTCCGCTCGCAGTCAGTGCTGGCCTCGGTGCCTGGTGTGGCACTAGGGGGCGCTGTACTGCAGGGAGTGGGGCGGGGGCTCAGCAGGGGGTGGTCTCCCCTCCCGGTCGGTGCTGGCTCCGGGGTGCCATGGCTGGGTGCATGAGATGGTGGTGGTGGATTCCACAGGTGAATTCCCTCCGTGCTGGGGGTGCTGGCCCCAGAGCATTCAGCAGACGCCCAATACGTGGCATCCCCTGCGCCCCCAGACGCCCACGTTCAGCCCTGACGCAGCGATTGCTGTGGGGGCTCAGAGCCCGGCAGACGCGCTGCTGCCTGAGCCAGGCGGGACGGGGGCCCCGGGGGCTGCGGTCGTGGAGCTAACGTCCCCCGTTCTCTGCCTCTCCCCGGCGCCCGGGCAGTGATGATGGGCTCTCTGCTGGCGGCCACCACGGAGGCTCCGGGCGAGTATTTCTTCTCGGACGGCGTGAGGCTGAAGAAGTATCGGGGGATGGGCTCGCTCGACGCCATGGAGAAGAACATCAGCAGTCAGAAGCGATACTTCAGGTGTGGGGCAGGGACCCCTGTGTCCAGCCTGGGCTGGGGGGCGGGAGCCTGCCAGGCAGACGCTGGGCGCAGCTTGGCGTGGGGCCCCGGGGGAGCGGAGCGGGGCGGGGCGGGGGTGGGCAGGCTGGAGGCAGGAGCAGGGCCCCCCCGTAACAGCCGCCGGGTTCTCCCCCTACAGCGAAGGGGATAAGGTGAAGGTGGCGCAGGGCGTCTCCGGCTCCATCCAGGACAAGGGCTCCATCCAGAAGTTCGTCCCATACCTGATCGCGGGCATTCAGCACGGCTGCCAGGACATCGGGGCTAGGAGCCTCTCCATCCTCCGGTGAGGGGTGCGGGGGCCGGGGCGCGGCTGTCCTGGGAGGGGCCTGCCTGGGGAAATCAGCCCAGCCCTGCCCCGCCCCAGCAAGATCCTGGGCTCTCCCCTCCCCGGGAGGGTGGGGACAGATGGCATCTGAGGGGTGGGGAGCCGAGCCGGGCCAGGCTATGGGGAAGCAGTAGAGCGT